AGAGAGAGAGAGAGAGAGAGAGAGAGAGAGAGAGAGAGAGAGAGAGAGACCCGGACATCGTCGCGTACCTACCAAATGCTAAAGTGGATGCCATTGTGCGCCGGCGGGGGAGCCATATAGTTGGCGTGCGGGATTTTACGACGGCACTAAAACGCGAAAGCTGCGGCGGTGGGTAGCTAGGTAGGTAGGTAGCTAGGTAGATAGGTAGATAGGTGGGTGGGTTGGTGTGCTGCAACCCCTATGTGTCGCCGAATGCAGTCGCGCGCAAATGTGTACCAGTAGGTTGCCGAGCCGGGCCGGCTGCTGTCAGACAGTAACACGCCAAACAGCCAACCATAGCTGTCGCGTGCAATTTTGATGGGGAGGGACCAGTCCGCATAAAGAACAAGCGTGTGGACACACCGTCGTTCGCTCGCTCGGTCGGTTGGTTTGAATCGACGCGAGAATCACCTGATCGTCCGCTCGCGCGATCATGTCCCGCAGGAGTCGCCCTCGCCCGCGACGCATCACCGTGTTCTAGATATATTTAATTCCACCAGTCGCGAAAACTGCCGCCGGCTACCGGGCTATTTTTAACCGTGAATTTGCCGAGGACCACCGAGACGGTTTAATTAGCGCGGACAAATTTGGGAGCAATTTCTTTCGCGGTGCTGGTTCATTCGTAGTTATAAACACACGTAACACACGTGCGCGCGCGCGCACCTACACACACATACAGACCAGCAAACAAGACAGACACACATATACATATTCAACTCGCGCACGTTTCAAGAAGGAAACAAAATATCGCGCGAATGGGTGGTACTTGGAAAAAAATGTCGTCAGAGTAATTTCATGGCGTGTATACTTTTACACTCTATACTTGAGAGACAAAAAAGCGAAAAAGGATAATAAATCGCACGAAGTAAGAAGAAGGGTGTAACGGGAAAGAGCACGGGAGCTCTCCTACGTGTCATCGTGCGCGCGCGTACACGTGTGTGTGTGTGTGTGTGTGTGTGTGTGTGTGTGTGTGTGAGCGCGCGTGCGAGCATGGTTGTAATATCGTTATCGATCTGTTGCTCTCTCTCTGTCTGCCCGCAGCTGTACCTGACGTCGAACGTCTCGTCGAGCGATTTCAACATGGGCTACAGCATGACGGGCACGCTGGAGCGCGGCTGCAAGAAGACCAACTCCTTCCAGATGACCCACTTCGCGGTGATACGGCGGCGAGACTACGAGAAGGCGTACGAGGACCCGAATCCCACCTAGTGTCCGTCCACACCCACGCTCTCGGAGTGTGGGGACTGCGAGCATTACACGTAGGGGCAAGCGTCGCCGGCAAAAGGGATGCACTTTCGCGCGCGTGTGCGTCGGCCGCGTGTTACGCGTCGCGCGGGAAAGTGCGTCCGCGCGGCGTTCCAGGTCGCTCGATGAACGTGTCGGGAAGGAGCGGCTCTTTTCGCGGGGCTTATTTCGCTCTCGCGGACTCCCGGGAATCCCCAGACTCCCGGCCGAGAGGACTTCGCAGCTCTAGACGCGACGTCGGACGCGTCCTCGACGAAGAGGATCGCGCACGACGATCAATCGCGATCGAGAACCGCTCGGGCACACACCTGCGTAACGTCAGACCGCCAAGTCGCCGGTTGAATTAGCGATATATTCCTCAAAGAGGAAGGTAAAACCGCGAAATAGCGCACGCGAATATAAAAAGCATCAACTGGATCGCTGCGAGAGGCGAAGGAGAGACGTAGAGATAGGCAGGAGGAAGGCTAGTGGAACGGGGTGTTGGAGAAACACTATGAAGCGTTATCTACCTTCCCCTGGCGCAGGAGACTCATAAGGAGATAATCAAGATAGAGTGTGAAGGAAGGGGTCTTAATTTACGTAGAATCAACATCAGCCCGCGGTTACGAGAGATCCACAGGTGCGGTAGGTGAACGAAAGAGTGTAAGTTAAGACGGAGTAGATAACGGGTAAAAGGTGGATATTGAGACCTGATTCGCCAACAGGATAAATGTTTTTCCCTCGAGTTAATATTTCTTTTCTTAAGTCGCTGCCACACATGTAACTTGTGCGATTTTCTCTCTCTCTCTCTCTCTCTCTCTCTCTCTCTCTCTCTCTCTCGCGTTAAGGCCGAGTTGGCGGACTGGCGGATCGCACGGTGTGTTCCCGATCGCTCGGGATCTCTCGAAGCGAGCCGTTCCCGCACTCGAGAGCTACGAGTTCGAAATCGGAGATTTTCGCGAACGAGAAAGACCTGGAACCTGGACAGCGGACTCGACGACGAGACGGAGCGGAAGGTAAGAAAGGTCGAAGGATCGTCGGGGAGGAACGAACGTGTGTATGATATCTACCAAAGCCGCGAGTAGCAGCCTCCCTGCACACGCGACAGCCAAACGTCCAAAGATAGTCCGTAATTTAGGTCGAATTAATTAGTTGTTAAATAAAAGCGCTAACAAGCGACGCATGCAGTCACAAGCGTGATTATAACAGTACAGAGAGGCGAGAGACGCTGGTCGAGAGGCGGGAAACTGTACACCAAAGTACTAGCACGTAAGTCTGCAAGTTCGTCGGCGATAACCCAAAATCGCAGCGCTCCTCCTCCCCTCGCTCCCCTCCTCTCCCCCCAAAAGGTACACTGCTTCTCATCGATCGACGCATCGACGACCGCCTCGTCGAGATTCGCGCGTGTGTAATTAGTAAGCGATTATGTATAGCGAGTTAAGGCTTCTCTTCTCTCGGCGTGAATTCACTCGGCGCTCAACTGCCTAGGCTAGAGTTATTGTGCCAATTCGAAGCCATCGTTGACGAGAGCACTGTACCTGAGAATTACTACGAGAGTCAGAGCGCGGGAACACGCGCGGAGAAGCCGATGCCTCGGCGAAACGATGTGGGCCGGCCCCGCGAACGTCCAGTCGAACGTGTAATCGCCCAAAAGACGTCCGAAAGGAAACCCGGGAGATTGAGATGTCTCTCGGCCTTTTGTGCTCGCCGTTCGCGCCAACGGCGACGAAATGGGGCACTCGCACGTGCCATTTCTCGCCACGTTGCACGATAAAATTCGCAGTGCAAATAAAAATTTAGAGAAACCACGTTTCCTGGATCCTCGCGCGCAAATGTCAGCCAATTTCGCCCGCACCACGCGGAATGACACAGAGCAGCGCCGTTGATCTACGAGGAAATCCCGGATAGCGCGTTCGCGCGAGCATCTCGTTGGAATTTCAAGTATAATTACATTTTGTATGTATTGCATTTTGCGTTTGAGGGCACGCCCGGAGAATTTCATATGACGGCGGTGGTGGCCGTCAGGCAGGCAGGCAGGGTCGGTTATAAATATCGTTTCGCCTGGCACTGGCTTTATAGGCAGTATAGCTGTAGCGTGTAGCCGGCTTACAAGGTATTTCAAAGCTTGTTACGCGCCCCTTTCTTTGAGCCACCGCCGACGCCGCTCGAAGAAAGAAAGCCCGCGAGAGAGTCTCGCTGCACTGGCTGGACATACAACAACAAAGCGAGAGAGAAAGAGAGAGCCTCTGTGTGTCCCTCTCTTTCTCTCGCTCACTTACTCGCTCTCTCTCTCTCTCTTTCCCTCTTTTACCTTTACAGGATCATCGTGAACCGGTGTTGTAACCTTTACACGATACTTATTTTTGCTAAAGAGTAGGAAGTCGCTCACGATGCCAGTCACGATGTATCCCGATGATCTAACGAGTGGTGATCGCTGATCGTTCGTTCGGGACGTAAAGTGGCTCCGAAAAAGTAGAGTCGGACAGGAAATCCCGAGGATTTCGGAAAGGTGGAAAATCGGACTCGACGAGTCCTCTCGTGTTACACTTGTGTTAAGAACGTCAAATGTCGATTATGCATTAGTTAAGATTAAGGGAGGTCCTGCTTTAGATAGCCGAAAAATAGGAGCAATTTTAACAATTTTTTTCAAAGGGATAAATAACGATGTCGATATAGGATTTTAGCCATATTATTTATCATTATTTTAAGTAGACAAAAATTATTTAACGAAAAAATTGAAATTTCATTCAGGACTTTGTGTTGGGTGCAGCGTCGCCAGATGCCTTTAACTGACGGGCGACATTACAGTTCGTGTAACAATTTGAAATAAATGGGACGAGAAAATTTAAAAACTATATTAAATTTACTGAAGAATGAACCTAGATATTTTGACAAATTTTCCCTAGACTAGTATTACTACTATCGGGGACATCAAATGAAAAAGAAAGAGAGAGGAAAAATGTAGTCCGTAATTTTTATATACCCTCATTTTGTTAAATTTCAACTTTCTGCATAAAACAAAGAAAGGCCCTCCAACAAATTTAGTACAGTTTTCCAATTTTCTGGTCCCATTTGTTTCCGGTTATTACACGAACTGTAATGTTGCACATCAAATTTGGAGGCGTCCGGCGATATTGCACCCAGCACAAAAAAACTAGATGGAGAATTTCAATTTTTTTTAAATTTTCATACATAAAACAACGATAAAAGCAGCAAACAATCAAAATTTTATATTAATATTTTTATACATTTCTCTGAAAAAGATTTGTAAAAACTTCAATTATTAATTCTTTAATTTTTTATTTGTTAAAAACCTCCTATTTTTTTACTATCTAGGCCAAAACCTGCCCTTAAAGTTACGTTTTAAAGTTGTGTTTTGGAGTTATGTTGCGTGTTCTCCGAATAATTTATTTATTCGTCGTTGTTTCACGGTAAAAGAGATGTGATTTGCGTTTGGTCATTCGATCAGATTTGCTTTGCGCGCCCAGCGATATCATCGACGTTATCGCCGTTGCGTCGCGCGATTCGGGACGCGAATTTCTACCGCGAATACTAATCGCGGAGGTGTTTCTGCACGAGACGTTTCCTCGCCTGCCGTCGTCGCGGAAAACCGGTAGCGAACGAGCGGTCGCGAGAAAAGTTCTACCGATAAAACAAACTCGTCGTTCGTAACTACCCCTAGAGTCCTCGATGAGAATCTCTTCCGCTTTTGCTCAAGGAATTACCTAATGCCAAATGGATAATTACGTGCAATAGAGCGCAAGAGGAGGTTGAGTCGTTTCACGCATTCGATATTAGAATATCGCGCTGTGTTGAGTTTCACTATATATAGAAGGTAAAACACGGTGCACCCGAGCGTGTTGGGTGAAATTCTGTCGTAGATTATTTTCGTCGGTGATACCTGCTAGACAGTCACCGAGATGAGATGGAAAATTCGTTCGACTGATCCTTTCAGTATCGAATAGATCGACATTCTCGATGAAAAATTTACGATAATTCTATTTTCAATCCTCTCAAGAACTCTCGTCGCATCAACGAATGTTAGTTCAATAATTTATAAGTCTCTCGGAGAGAGTGTAATACGCGGGGATACTGAAAGGGTTACGTATATAATATAAGGAGAGAAAAGATCTCGCGGCTTACCGTTTGAATATTTCTTTGCGTTGCGACGCTTTTCTCGAATTTCGCGCGAGTGTGGGCGATCGAATCCAATCGGATTCCTCCTCCCGTTGGTGGAGTTACGTGTTACAGGGTTTAGCGTTTTCTCGCAATTCAAGGGTGGCTCAAGGTTTGTCGCTTCTCCCGGCAATCTTCGTGCGAATCTGATCAACGTGTCGGGATAAAAAATGCCGGGGGATTGCAGGCAGGAGGGGGAATAATTCTGTGAACCGATGTTGCTCATGACACGGTAAAGTCTCGTTAGTTCGAAAATCCACCATCTCCTCCACTACAAATCCTCCTCTACGATGAACTGTTTCGAGTTCCTCCGAATTTGCTCTAACGAGGGTTTATTGTGCTCGTACTTTGCCATCGGTGCGTGTGTGTGGTGCATGCATGTGCGTGTGTGTATGGCAGAATTACGTTCGTTATTATTAGCCACGTTACTTGGATTGCGAAAATCGCGTAGAGGATCGATAAGATAGCATACCGCTGCATGTACATACATATATATTGTGAAAACACAACTCTCATATACACGTACACATTTGCAAATACACACATGTACGCGCACACACGTACCGCGCACCGAGACACACACACACACACACACACACACACACATACACGTTCCGCGAGAGTAGATGAACTTTTCGCGAGAACCACGTTGATGTTGTAGTTTATTAGATTAGCACTCGTGGCGCTTCTTCTAGCCGATCTAGTCCTTAGATCTAGCACGGACCGCCCGTCGTAGTTGAACTGTTCTCGATAGCGGCCGATTAGCCGAGGGATTCGCGTGTCCGAGAGAGTTCTCGCGAGCCGATGCGAGCCCTGGCGTTTCGCGAAATCGCGACGAGCGAGTTGTCGCACTATAAATTCCGTTACCGCGTCGCCGAAAGGTTATTACCTCGAAAAACATGGTGCACGCCACCGTTCGGCACGTCTTACTTGGCGAGCAGCCTCGGCAGCGCGCGCGCGCGCTTCCGTTTTACGACGCCGCGGCTCCTAAATTCAACAACGGCGAATTTCCGGCGCCCGTCAGGCGGAGAGGAGTCGCGTCCTCGTCGCCCAGACGAGACGTCTTGCATCGCTTCCTGGCTTTTAAGATTCATAGCCGACGCTTTATAACGTTCTTTCGACGTCGCCGGGATGCCGATCTACGATCGCTAAGCCCCACGGCGAATCGCGGACATTCGATACACCCAGTGGCCTTTACGGCCGAAATCACTTCACGCTTTTTGCGAAACGGGACGAGTATCTTCGGCCAGCCGAAGCGCGATCGTGCGTGACGACGTTTTCGAGAAAAACCAACGGATGGTCGCGATCTATCGTTTCCGCGCGCACGAATGGCGAAGATCTCACCCTGGATTTTCGCAGTCTCGAGCGTCTCCTTCGCGAAAACACCGGAGTGAATTTTCAAATCGCAAGAAACCGAATCTCACTTTCCAACTACATTCCCTACATCGAGAAAAAAATACTTGAAAATTTCTCTGCGTGATATGAGGTTTATTTCAGCGAAATAAGGTTTACTCTCGCGAAACAAAGTTTATTCCTGTGAATATAAACTTATATCCCGCAGGTAAATTGTCAAGCATCGTTTCCTCAATATACCCACTGAGAAAGGAATATTTTCAAATTTACTGTAGAACAAGAGTTTATCTCGCCAAAACAAACTATATTACAAAAATTATAATTATATTTAATTTACATAATAATTATACAATAACAATAAATTTACGTAATAATTTATTGTATTTGTAATTAAGATGTAAATATTATGAAAATTTATTTCTCACCGAAGTAAACTTCATATCCCACGAATAAATGTTCAAGTATTTCTTTCTCAGTGCACATCGTCGCTGACCGTGCGATTCTTCCTCGTCTTAGTTTGACCGAGACGGAATTTTCATTCACAAGACGCAAGATATGCGGGAAATGCGCGATTAAATTTTTGCACGCCAGACGGAGCGTGATAGCTCGAATTTGGGACACGGTTTGACCGACGTCGTTATTTCGGCATATTACTGGTACGACACGCGTATTAATCTGCTCGCACTCGACTCGCGAGAGTCTCTCTCTCTCTCTCTCTCTCTCTTTCTTTTCCTCTCCTCGGTTCATCCCTCGGCAAAATAACATTACTGTCTCGCCTAAAACGATAGCGGTCGCGTCCTCCACTTTTCGGGGTAGTCTTCTATAGCCTTTTAGGATGATTTAAGTGAATACGTACGTCCGATATCACGGTCCCTCCTAACTACTTAGCCGTAGTCTAGACCCACTGATGCACGCTTTCTTCGAATCTGAAACGGAGTACTCCTATCTTCGTCAGCTGCACAACGGGTCTCTAGTCTATCTTATCGCGTCGCGCTACTCCGTCGCACTCGGATCGTCCGTAATTGCATCGAATCAGTCAAGCGTGTTTCAAGCCCGCAAAACAAGAATATACTTATATTTTTGTATAATTATACCCTCGGGGATATCTCTCTAATTGGCAAATTGAGGTGACTTTGTGCTCACTTCATCTCTCGCTCAAGTAAAAAGTCGACTGCACGAGAAAATATTGTAGTGAAAATCGCGTTGAAATTACATCGCTTTTTGCAATGCTTTTTATAAAACTGGATTATACTCAAATTGTAATATAAATTATCACAAAATTTGTAATAATCTCGTCACTTTGATATATAATATAAAAGATACTCAAGTATAGTCACAATAATGTTATAGTAAAAAATCATACACCTGCATAACATTTTTAAACAGATTTTGGATAGATCGGAACAAATGTTGAAGCTTTAAGTCAGGGTCAGTGAACGCTCAATGAGATTTTGTGCCGGATGGTGTGTACCTTCCGAATTTCATCAAGATCTAAAGGTACAAATCAATCGGATACGAAAATTCACTGAGCGCTAGTGCTGAATCCACTCATTTGGACATCGGTGCCGCATGCTCCGGCGAGAGGGAGCGCGTGTTTCGTTTCATCCAGGAGAGGCAGAATCAAAATCGATCGCGGCGATCCGGATGCGGAGGAGGTAGCGGGCCGTGCCCTATCTTCGAGATATAGCGAGAATGTAAACGTAGACACGCCAAGTAGTGGTCGTAGTGAAATCGATGGTCGTCGTCGTCGTCGTGTCTCATCGCCGGGCGTCGCGACGCCGTCGACGCTCCGCTTTGCGCTCCGCTCCGTTCCTCTCCGAGCCGCTCTCAGGGCGTCTCTTATCCTGCTCTTCTCCTTCTCTCTTCTCCACCTTATCTGGCCCCTGTCTCTCTCCCGCTCTCGTTAGATCGCCAGTCGAATCTTCGCCGCTCACGCGAACGTCGACCGGCAAATTTTATTTTTTCTAGGCGGCAAAGATCCTCGACTCGCGATCTCGCGGCCTCCGAATGGCGTCGCGGGCGTCGACAGTCGCGACGGACCGGCGGTGATTTTCGTCCGGATGCGACAGTCGGGCTCGACGTCACCGGCTGAGACTCGTGCGACTCGCGCACGGTCGAGACCGCACGAAGAGCTCACGCTGGAAGGACCGAGTCCAAAATGTACAATGAACTTAGTCGCTTAAAGTGGACCTCGGGAATTATGTACAGGTAAATTCAGTCCATCCTCTGTCTTGTCTCCAACGTTTAAGGGACGGTTTCTGACAATGTCGCATTTAGATATGGCGAACGCTAAGGACACGAGAGGCCATTAGCGCGAACTTGAATCCAAGATGGCAATTGCCATAATTTATAGCTGGCTTGCAACGAGCATGGCCTCGGCGTTTACCGTATCCTAACTGCGCGACGGTGTAAAACTTTGCTAATAACGACGTCCATTTCGGTAACACCGAAGGTCTGAAGTAGCGGCCCGTATTTATGTTACGTCGCGATATGTTTTCCTGTGGCTTTCCGACTTTTATTTCGCGCGCTAGCATCGCGAGCGGTAACAAGAGATAAACGATACGTTCCCATTTGTCTGGTAGATTATCCGCGGCGTCAACAGTTACAAAACAGAAGGATCCGGAAAAAAACAAACGCAAGTCTGAATTATGTCTCGTTAATTCTGCGAACAATCGACTGTCGCATCCGCGTCTCGTTGTAATCGATGTGTGTAGTCACATAGCGAGTAGCGAAGAGAAACTAAGAAGAGATGTATCCTTGTAACAAACGCCAAACGGATTACGGCATTGCACTGGTTTTAGAGGAGGAAGAGAAGGCAAGAAAGAAGAAAAATACGAACGAAACATTCGTATTCAAAGCTATGGCTGTGATTCTCATTAATCGGTAAAAAAAAAATCGGTTCATATTGTACTCGAAACACATATTATATAAAAAAAATATATATATAAATATTATATATTATATATACATATATGTAGGTTATATATGCGGCGATATATTTAGTGATAAAGACACGATATTTTGCACGCCGTTGGGTTCCGCGTTCGCGTCTCTCTCTCTTTCCTTTCCTCGAAATAGTCGAAATTCACGATCGCGCGCCTCTCCGTCCCGCGACGGGGCGGGCTTTATTTTTTTATCTGGTGCTAAATCCCAGAGAGTACTAGCGTGCGATTTCGTTGATCGAGACATCGATCGGTCCCTAGGCGTTCTATCCGCGGCGGGAATTGAAACCGAGTGGGGAAGGTTTTTTCGCTGGCGTAGAAACACGCGGAAATGATCCCGGCGGCGCCGGAGACCGGGATACAAGGCGACGTGTATTCAGAAATACGGATTCACGAGTGAAAAACAGAGCGCAAGCCCCGATACAAATATATGCGGTTTCCGCGACTCATCGTGGCTCGCGCCGCGCGTCGTGCGAGCGCGACACGAGTCGTCAGAGAGATCAGAACGACCATTTCCCAGGCGCAATTTTCACGATGCTGTGAGCTGTCCCGAGAGCTCCGAGATCGATGCTGCCATTCTCTATTCAATTAAGGATCCCACTGCTATTCTAAAATAATATCTAAGCGTCCGCTCTCTCCCTTCATTCACGGATCGCGTTGCTGACGAAGTGTCGTCAGTTATTTTAAGTCTGAACATTCAGTTGCAACGATCGATTCGCGAGACACAATCAGTAGCGCAAGGATCGCGATAGTCTCTTTTTTTGGTGTGTTTTTCTTCTCTCGCGATGAATTGTGCAACGCATCTATAGCCGACAAAACAAAACTCACTTCTCCAGTAATCCTCGGAAGATAAACCCTGCCACTGGATGCCGGGGATGCGATCTGAAATTCATCGAAGTGAAAACGTCGCGATTGTTCCGCGGCCGACACTGCGTTTATGCCGCAGCTTTAGCGCGAAAAATTGCACCCACCGAATTTCACGCCGGTCTCGATTCTCGCGCGCGTCCGCGAACGATTGCTCACTGTTTTTCGCGTTTGATTGAGAATCAAATCTCTCTGAGCGGAGCGAGGGGAGGCGTGCAGCCGCCGGCTCCCCTCTGAAAATCAAAGCCATTAGCGCGATAGCTCCTAAGGTCTCTTTGCGATCCACCGTCAATGCGTAAACGCACATACATAACAACAACAACACACACACACACACATACACACATACATTCGTTTAACGTAACGTCTAATTAATCGATTAGGCCGTAGGCTTAACGAGCGCGGTAACGCCGCGCGAATGTAGATACGCGCGACGAAAGGGCGTTCAACAGCGGCTCTTCGGCTAATGAGAGGATATCGATCGCACGCATTGATTGCGGCCGAATAAATAGGCTCTCTGCGAGATACCTCTGCGAGGACGGGCGGCACGATTAAGAGGGGCTCCACGGAGACTCGATCTCTAGGGAATATCAAAAAGGGCTCGACGATCTCAGGATATAAATCGCGATTTGTTAAGATTCATGAAGGTATCAATCGCGCTGATTGTCTCCAACGACAGGAGGAACGTTCAGTAAGCTTCGTAAACTTCGAGACTGCACTGGAAAAAAAGAAGATATGCATAACCAAAAATAATTCAGTTGCGACATAGTCGCATCAACCTAGTGATCTTTGCGCGATAGTAATGTGAAATTACTATAAATTAAATATAATGTGAAATTACTGTATAATAAGCCAATTACTTTGGGGTATACTTCAACTGTAGTTGTGTGTAATCTGGACGTGGCAGCTAGAAATCAGTTAGGTCGACATTTTTATTGTACACCGAAAAAATCATTTTTATATTTGGAACTTGGTACATATGATTTTGTTGGCATTACCATGTTTTTATTTGTAAAGTAAAGCCTTCAGAGCGGCGATTAAATGTTTTCCTCGCGATTACCAAACATTTGGTTTTAACCAAATTACGCCGCGGTGTGAACCGAATTTTCGTCTCGACAACAAAATCCTTTTTTTCAGTGTGGGTACGTGCTCCTGGTTGGAGCAACCAGATATCGTCGCTGTAAGCCAGCAATTGCTTTGCGGTTGCAGCAACCACATAATTCGTTGTTCCGTATTTTACTGCTGAATCTGGTTGGCACAAGCAGACTTATGTGTGGGCCAACCGTTTTCTCTGTGTAGCATTTATCGCGTCGCAAGAGAGCACGATGCGCTTCACTCTCGCTGTTGCACGCCGTTAATCGCGCGAGTGCGCCGGAGAGGATGTCGCTCGAGAAAGTGGAGGACGCTCCTTCGAGCATCCTCTCCGCGCCCACGTCTGTAAAACGAGCGACAGAGATAATCAGTTGACCGCGACTCCTTCGTTCCCCCCGACCGACCGACCGACCGACCGACCGAGTGGAGCGCGCGCGCGGAAGTCGCGAATTCAATCAAAATAATTCCGAGCAGCCGAGACAGAGAGGTCGGCGACAGAGAGACGCAGGATGCAGGTGTCATCCTCGCAGCGCGAGTGCAGCGATACGGAACGAGGGAAGCGCGGGTGTTTGATGTATTTTCACTACAGTCCTGTCTACAGTCAATTCATTTTGTATCTATACCTAATCTATGTATCTATCGTCATAATTTATGCCGAATAAATGTTACATTTACGCATAACGAGGTGTACTACGCACCCGATTCTCGTCCAATCTCCCAATGTTCCTTCTCTAACGCAGAAATCGATGGTCGAGTCATAACGAAGTAGTGCTGTCAATATATCCTGGATATTTCTATACCTGGATATTACAGCTTTAGGCATCCGGATGGTAAGTAGTTACGAGTATGCAATGCATTCATTCGTTATTTGTTATTGTCGAAAAAATCAATAATCCAGAAATGTCACATTATCTCGTGTAGTCATTAAATTAACTTTAGTTGCAAGTTACTTTGGCTCGTATTAATAGTCGTTACTTGAAACTTGTTCTACGTAAATATTCAAATCTAAATTTAGAATTAAATGAGTTTTTTATTTGAATTATATGTGACGTTAAATTTGCAGTCGCGATTCAGCTGAGAAACTCGGGTCTAACTCTGAAGTACAACTGAAGTACTCTGAGTGTCTCACCTGAAGCGAGTTTCAAGTAACGATTATTAATACTGAAGATTATTTCAAGTATCGATTATTAATACTGAAGAAATATCAAATCGATTGCCAATTTTCATATGACTTTTACTCGACGCGAAAGTGGCTTGGTAAAAGGAGAGGACAGCGGAGGGAGACAGGAAAAGCATAACTGGAACGATACGGAGGTAATTAGGATACCGCGCGAGTTACGGCAGACAGCGAGAAATGGAAATTGTGAGAGTGAGAGAGAGAGAGAAAGGGAGAAGAAGAAGGAGGCCGAGAAGTTCGATGAAATTCGTTTAAGTTTAATTGACTACTGTTTCAAAACACTCGCGAATAATGAAGGATAACTTTCCGGTTCCGATGGCAAGTTCGCCGGCGATAAGTAACTTTCCGCCCGGACAACTTTCCGAACGTAACGGACTTTATCTGTCAGAATCCGGGGCTCGAATGAGCGCGGACGAGAGAGCCGATGAATTAACACTTTGACCCACCTTCGGCCGCGATAAGAGCTAAACACGAGCTAAAAAACTTGGCTCCGCCTCGCCCACAGGGAAACAGGTGCATATGCCCGCCGCAGATTACGCGTGCCACGCTAGGTGCGTCGCGAACTGTCGCGGTAATGGATACCGGTATCCATCACCGCGATCGGACGAACTATCGCGGTAACGGCGACGACGGTAGCGGCGACGGCACAGCGGAGAAAACTGCTTCCGGGACGGAAAAGTTCCGTAAGTATTTCTCGAGCGTTCCGCTAACGGGTAACACATTTTCGATAGTAACGTCGCGTCGGAGTTACTAAACTCGCCGGGAACTTTTCGATCGGTAGCGGCGCAGTCGGCGTTCGACGACGAGGACGAGGACGACGACGTAAAATTCTGCGGAAGTTAGCGACGGTCGGAAAACTTGCTAAGAGAAACGAGTGCGAGAGAGAGAAAGAGAGAGACGGGACTTACGATCGAACGGCAGGCCAGCTTTCTCCGGCAAAAGTCCGATATTGACTTAACGAACGAGGAGACACGTGACGTTGCCACCTGCTGCTGCTGTACTTATTAGCATCTCACCCCACCCCCCCTCTTCCACCGCGTTCCTCATTACTTTAAAGAGGATTGAAATTAACTCGATGTCGGGAAATCTGTCCGGCCATGTTTGTCAATCGCGTGTACGCTCGAAGTCACGAATATCGAGAAGCAAGGTCGATCGATCAATCGCTTATCCGATATCGGAACAACTGTGTCACGCCGAGTTACATCGACGATATGTTGTTGCTTTTTCCCGTTCGTTCTCGTAAGGCTCCTGTGCCTGTACTCGTCGTACGTTGGCCATGTTGGATCGTGACGTCAGAGGCGACAAGAAATGACATACTGCAAATTTCTGCGTGCCATTTTCAAGCAGAAAGATATTTGAATTAATCTCAAACATCTCAGACATCTCAGACATTTCAGACATCTCGGGTCGCTTGAATATGTACTAAGAAGAAGAATATCTAAGAAATGAACAATATTTATTCGACGGTGTAACTAATAACATGCATATCGGTACTAATATAAAATATTTTTTAAATAAAAAAACGTTTTCCTCACGTTTTCACGAATTATTTATTTAAATAAGAAAATTTAGACCTAAGTAAAGATGTTATTTCAAATTGATCAAACGTATAAATATTTTTTATTTCTTAGATGTTTTCTTACTCGATGTACTTGTAAAATTCACCGAAAAATATCCGTTTCCCTTGACGGTCAATAAATAGCCGTAAAATTGACGTGAGCAAGTGATGAGGAAAGACGGATTAAACAGGAAAGAGCTGCGTGTCAATTTTACGGCTATTTATTGACTGTTGAGAGAAAATGGTAGTTTTCAGAGCATTTACCAAGTATACTCAAGAAGAGTGATCTGAAGTGTTCTCCGATATCTTTTCATTTGAAACGTGTCTTCTCGCTTCTGACGTCATCAGTCAAGAGTTCCGCGCGCGAGCCGAGGGAGGAACCAACAGTCTTAAAACTGACATAATGCGTGTTAATGCAATTACACGATGTTCGCAGTAATTAATTACGTAAAAGAGATCGGCTGGGAGTTCCTTCGAAAGATACCTCAGCGAGACGCGGACATTTTAATCTCCTGCCAAAGTCATGCATACTACTCACTTATATCATCGTGACGCATGATGGCGTTGCGGAACGACGTAATTAATGCGGCGCATTAAAGGGGAAAAAGTGGAGCAAGAAGAAACGACGTGCGGAAAATGCATCCGCGGGGAGAAGGTAAAAAATATTCCAATCACGTCGCGTGCCTCTAATCGTTCGGACGTCCCGGTTCGCGGTGACGAAAAGCAAATTGGATTATAGATTAAACGTACGCGGCCGTACGTCGTAAATCAGCGATTCAGCGCGCAATACCGAAAACATAAATCCGTCCGGGGGTTGCCAACGGCGCAGAGCGAACGGGGGAGAAGGGTAAAGCCGGGCGGAGGGGCAGGGGAGGACGGGAATAGTGGATGCGAAATCTACATAACGGCGCCCGAATTTCATCGGGCACGGAAACTTTGCATACGAGCGCCGTGGCGTAGCGCGCGCGCGCCCTTCGCGAATCCATCGCGATAATGGGAAACATTTCGTCCGTTTCGGGGCTCTGAAAAAGTTGTCGGGAGAGTGAGCGTGTCTAATGTCGCAACCGCGGCCATTCTTTCGGATTTACGTAGACGAATAGCGGTGGTTACGGCTCACGTCGGCAATAATGGATTACGACTTCGTGCACAACGGTCGCGGCCGCGCACGACGAGGACATAGAAGAATGTCTGTTTTGGAAAGTATGATGCTCTGCCGCGGTGATTTTGCCGCCCGACAGTCGGGAGATATGTCGAGGGAAGTGTGTATTAACACGAACACAACAACTGTCAATCAGTGGGAAGGTAGCGCGTATTTTGAGGGCCGTTGCGACGCCGCGAAACCGTCTCGGCGAGAGAGATACGATGAGCAAAAAGAGTCTCGATTTAACAGCGAGGGCTGCTTTTCTACACAAGTAACGATCGCGCCGCGGTATCACCGAGCGGGGTGCGTCGCGACGCGAAAATCGGGGGTGATTCGACGAGGCAGATTTGCCGCTGAATTCCCTACTGCGTCGCCTGTTATACGACGCCCCGATAAGATCGTCGTTAGATCCGCGTAATGGGACCTTAACGCGACGTCGGCTCCGTCGGCGTGAATTATAATTATTACTAACGCAATCGTGTTCCCGAGATAAGCCGCGATTTAAGACGCGAGAAACCATGGCCGCTTCCCGCGCCGAACGAGAAACGTCAGGCTGAAGAATCTTGAAGGCGAAGTGCCCTTAAAGTCGCGGTTCATCGAGGAACAACGACGATCACGATTCCGACGATACCGATCAATTTTTGCACGTAGCAAGACTCTCAGTGTTCGCGATTTATCATCCGCATATTTGTTCGCTTGTTTCCGAGGTTTTTCAAATTACGACTCGATATAAATGACGCAACGACACACTTGATTTTCTCGGTGCCAATCACGTTAAAAGATTTGCAGTAAATAGAGAAATTATTCGCGTTTCATTATTTCCGTATTTATTTCCCCGCGTTCGATCAATTTTTTAAATTATAAATTGATTAGATCATATTGGACAGCAATTTTTGTTTGCGTCGAGCATATTTCCGCTATATTTTTTTCACAATTCAAACATCTTGCACTGAAAAAGATATTTGTTATCTGTGACTATAATCATGTCGAGAAATAATTGTTATAAATTATGGTCGAGAAAACTATTTTTTATTAAATTCTATTATAATGTTAATAATAATAACCATGCAAATTATTATCTTATTATCTTATTATTACTATCTTATTATAAAAAATATGGTTGAAATAAAAAATATGGTCGAAACCAAAAATATGGTTAAAACCAAAAATAATTTTAGTTAGTTAATTTTTTTCTTTCAGTGAGAACAAGAAAATAATAAAAAAATTTAGTTTTAAATTAAAACAAATTCACGCATGGAAATTATTTAACCTTTAATAAACCGTCCTGACATAAGAATAAAACATTGGCATATTTCTGCAAAATTTGTTAAACATAAAAATAATATTAATCTTGAAGAAAAATATGTAAAAATCTCCACTATAGCGCATCTCTAAAACTTTCAGCAATGGAACATTATACTTGCTAATTTGAATGCAGCAGGTAGAAATTAGTACGAATTGATGACTTTTATCTCTGACGCGAACTAGCTGTTGACCAGTGTAATCCAAAGGCGAGACCCGACGGGAGTTACAAGGAAATATCCGCGCGATCCTCTCATCTATTTCTCGGGACAACATTACGTCAAGAAGAAAAATTGAGATGCGTAAATATTTTTTGCTCCACTCGCCGCGTGGTCTGCCCGCAACAGCCTGTATTCATTATCGATATCTGTGCATCTCGCCGCGGGATGAACGGAAGGGGTGATTACCTCGCGAATCCCCTCGGCATAGTTAGTATGAGGGAAAATGTTCTTCGCCGAGCGAAGAGTGAGGGGCGGCCGGTAGTCGCGTAGCATCAGCCTCGG